CCTCTCTCCCCCCAGACCCCCTTCACAACGTCGACCCCCAGAGGTCTGGACCCCTTTCCGGGGACCGGCTTCTCAGCCTAAGCCGTCTCTTGACGGCCCCGAGGCGCGGGGAGGGCAGGGGCCCCCGGAGGCCGACGATAGCGGAACGCCTCCCGTCGCAGTCTTTCGCAGCGCGAGGCCTGGGCCCCCGGCCGGCGTGCCGCCCCCCGGCCGGCGTGCCGCCGGCAACTGTGCTCTCTGTCGCGCGGCGCCAGCGGACTCGCATGCGCGGTGGGAGCGGCAGGCTGGGGCGCCCGGGAGCGCGCAAGCACGGGAGGGGGGGCGGGAGAGGGGCGGGGAAGCGGTCGCGGGGCAGTGTCCCCCCGCCAGCGAGAGGCCAGTCGCGGGCCGCTATGTGGCCGGGTGCGCCGAGGTCGGGTGAGGCAGGGGTCAGGATGGAGGTGGACACAGTGGTGAGCGTTCTCTTGTGCGGCGCCTCGACACCGGGCGGAAAAAGGGGGTTGGGACGGGGGGGGGGGTCTGGCTCTGGACCTCCGTACGACTGTTTGCAAAAGCGCATCCTGTGGGGGAGACCCCACCTGCCCTGCTCGGAACAGGCGCCAAGAACAGCCAAGATCTACTCCCTGGGGGGGAATACGAGGGGGGGGCGCGAGGGGTCTCGCGCCGATCGGCAGAGCAGATAATAAGAAACCGACCGCCACGATGTGGGAGGTCTCGGAGTCGTCTCGCGGTCGCGGGGAAGCGGAGGCGGAGCGCTGGAACGTGGTCCCCTCCCCAGGCGTCCCACGACTCACAGAGTGCCTGGCCTCGGGAGCCCGTCCGCGGGCTCTGGGGCTTTGAGGAAGCGACCGAGGATGGCAGGCTACAGCAGGAGCTCGACCACAAGAAACCTTCCAGAAGAAACCCAACCCCGAGACCCCAGGTCGGCGGCGAGCCATGGTGGGAAGTGAGAAGGAGAAGGCCCTTCTCAGAACATGGCTGCCTCGCGTCGTGCCAAAAGACACGACGGCCCTGGCCTTTGTTGGCCTCGGGGGGCTCTTCCACGAGGCTCTGGGGCAACCAGAACAAATATGTTCCTCGCAAGCATCCGCGTGATACGGTGTTGGCCCTGTGGTTCGTGCGCGTGCCGTTCGCATCCCGAGCCAGGCGCAACCAGAGCGCGAAGCAGAGACGTCGCTGCCAATGCAGATGTATGAAAGCGCTGTGCGTGCCTCCCCTTCTGATCCGACCGATCATCCATAGAACCTGGCAACACTAGGGGGAAAACAAACCTACCTCGCTTTTGACCACCCTCGCTTCCAAGAGATACCAAACGATGCCAAACTACGGCCTGTACTGGTCAGGCCGCTTGACGAGGAGGCGCGTGGTATGACTTGGTTTTGCCTGGAAGCGAAAGCGGGCAGGTAATTCACGCTCTGAAGCACACAACAACAATCAAGGAACCAACCACACAATACGGGGCAATCAGACAGAAACCCAAAGCTCGAAGGGCCGTGTTCCGGCCACAGGGGCCCCCAAAAACGATCCCAAAGGGCCCCAAATACGGTCCAGAAGGGCCTCCACAAGAAAACCCGGAGGCGCCCAGTGACAGGGGCTCCCCTCCCACTTCGTTCGTGCTCCCCCCTTCTGTGCTCACGACTGCTGCAGAAGCGCTGGGACCCCAAGGGGTCGGCGGATTCGGACCTACTGGGTGGATCCCTACACATGCGATCGGTTCGATGCTGCACCATATGGGGCTGTGTCTGGATGTCCTATCACACGGATGACTTTGCATCCGTAATCATGCGCAAACGCACGTACGCGTGATGCTTGATTCGGTTATCTCACAATTGGTGTTGTCTGAAACTTCAATTTGAAGATAAGATTTCGCTCTTCACTTGCAACTTGCCATGCCTTTGTAATTGCGTTCGCACAATGAGAAATTTCGCACCTTGCATAGTATACTTTGGAAGGCGGGGCTCAGGACTGCGCCCAGGGAAGCGTTGAAGGACCAAGAACCGCTCTCTCGCCCTCCTCGGGTAATCTATCGAATTCTCCCGGTTCCACTCTGGGAGCCTTGGGGGCCCTCTTCCCTCATTTTCGGGGCCTTCGCGGTTTCCTTGAGGTCGCTCTTGGGTCCATATCGGATGCTCTTGGGGTTCTTTGGAGCCCTTGTGAAGATGTTCCGGGTTTACTCGGAGCCATCTTCGGTCATCCTGGAACCATCCTTCGGGAGAGATGGATGTAGGCCTAATTGGAGACTTCTTCGGGGGCTGCCTTTGTCCAGTTTGGTTTGGCCCACTTTACAACTATCTTCGAGCCCCTTGGGGCTATCTTGGAACCATCTTAGGGCGTGCTCCTCATACATCCCCGTTGCTGGGCCTCGCTGGGGCTCTCAACGGACCCTCTTGGAACTATCTTGGGCACTCTTCGGGGCTTGTTTTGGAATTCGTCCGATTGTACGCCTGCACGGTACAGCACGCCTTACTCCTCCATATCACCCTTCTCCTCCCCCTCGATCCACTCCTTGCTCGTTCTCGCCCTCCTCCTCCTCCTCCTCCTCCTCCTCCTCCTCCTCCTCCTCCCCCTCCTCCTCCTCCTCCTCCTCCTCCTCCTCCTCCTCCTCCTCCTCCTCCTCCTCCTCCTCCTTCTCCTTCTCCTCATCCTCTTCCGCGGACCTCATTTTGGGTCTCTCTCTCTCTATGTCTCTTTCTTTCTTTCTCTCTCTCTCTCTCTCTTGGGTTTCTCCTCTCTTGCTTTCTCGTTCTCTCTCGCCTTCTCTTCTTCTTTTTTGTATCTCTCTCTCTCTCTTGCTCTGTCGCTCTCTCTCGCTCTCCCGCGTTCTCTTCCTCTTTTGAGCCCTTTTGTTTCTCTCTCTCTCTCTCGCTCTGTCGCTCGCTCGCTCTCTCTCTCACTTTCTCGCGTTCTCTTCCTCTTTGGGCTTTTTCGTTTTATCTCTCTCTCTCTCTCTCTCGCTCTCTCTCACGCGCCCCGCCTGCCGCCTGCGCGCCGATCCTGAAGGGCCAGGGTGCATGGAGCGACGCGCCAATGCAGCCTTGATTTACTTACATATATCTCTATATATATATATATAGAGATATACAAATATATGTATGTTAACGTTGCCATTTTTATCGCCGATCGATCGGCGACAGGCCCCCGACAACAGATCGCACGCTCCTGGGCGGGGTGGGCTGCCGGGCCCGTGCCGGCGACGAAGGAGCGACGGGGGGCCGGTGCGTCCCCCATCTTATAAGGGGGCGATGCCAAACTACGGCAAGGCACTGGTCGGGCCACTCGACGGCCCAGACCCCCTCGAGTTATAAAAAAATCACGACGGGAGGTTTTTCGTTATTTTTGGCCTCTGGGGGCCCTTGCCGGCCCTCGGGACCGTCCAAAAACGACTCAGGACGAAGAACCGGTCCCGGGGAATGGGTCCAGACAGCTGGGGGTCGACGTCATGAAAAATTCACGACGTCGGGGGTCTGGGGGGGAGGCGCGTTGTATGACTTGGTTTGGCCAGGAAGCGACAGCGGGCAGGTATTTCACGCTCTGACATGAGCATGCATTCCCCCCCCCTGCCACGTTGCCCTTCACACGAAGCCCTGGTGCCGGGATGGAGGGCTGGCCGCTGCCCTGAGGACCCTGGCGGCGGGGCCCCTCCGCCTCACGGCGGCCCCTCCCACCACGTGTCGGCCGGCTGTCCGCGCGCCTGCGGGCCGCCCAGGGGACCAGCGGGCGCGGCGTGGGCTGAAGGACGGCAGCAGGACGAGGGCAGTGAAGGGGCCCTGGCGCACACACAAATAAGTCGACACGAATGACAGGATTCCCCATACTTATTTTCTCATACTTTCGGGGTTTCATCTCCCCCCAACTTCCCATATCTTCCCATATTTTCCTGGGGATCGACGATTAATGTGTGTCTCTGTTTGTTTTTCCCCTCCTGAGGCAGGGTGAGGAAACGCCGGGCCGAAGATGCCTTGCGGACCTCCGAGAGGCGGGCGGGCCTGGGGGATGCGCCGGCGCGCCGCGGTCGGCTCCACGGCGCTCGGGAGCGCCCTGCGCTCTCAGAGCGGCTCCAGATCGAGGAGGAGGAGGAGCAGAAGGAGGAGGAGGAGGAGGAGGAGGAGGAGGAGGAGGAGGAGGAGGAGGAGAAGGAGGAGGAGGAGGAGGAGGAGGACGAGGAGGGGGATCGAGGAGGAGGTGAAGGAGGAGGAGGAGGAGGAGGAGGAGGAGGAGGATCGAGGAGGGGGATCGAGGAGGAGGTGGAGGAGGAGGAGGAGGAGGAGGAGGAGGAGGAGGAGGAGGAGTGCACGCAGCCGAGGGGGGCGCGTGTCGGGCCTACGCGGCGGGCGAGGCGGGTCGCGCCGCAGGCAGGCCGCTCACGGCCGCCAAAGACGAAGTCGATGAGGGCGCGGACGCCGAGGAGGCCGCCGGGTGTGACGGGCGGCTCGCGCCGGGAGCTGCGGGCGCGGCCTGCTCAGCAGCGGGTACTCGGCCAGGCGCGGACGCCGAGTGGGCCGCCACCGGGTGGGCTGCCAGGCCGTCCGGGCGGCCGTCGCGGGCCGACGGAGGGCCGCCGCCACCAGGCGGGTGTGACGGGCGGCTCGCGCCGGGAGCTGCCGGCGCGGCCTGCGCAGCAGTGGGCACTCGGCCGTCGAGAAGGCGATGTACGGCTGCGAGCCAGATCCCCGAGGCCGCCTCGTAGGGGACGACGCGGCCGTGCTTGTCAAAGAACTTCTTGTGGAGGTGGTAAATGTGGAACGCGAGCACGATCCCGCGAAGAGCCGCCCCGCGGGACCACTCGCCAGCGTGCTCGGCCGCACTGCCAAGCCCAAAGCGGCCGAGAGGGCAGGAGGAGGAGGAGGAGGAGGAGGAGGAGGAGGAGGAGGAGGAGGAGGAGGAGGAGGAGGAGGAGGAGGAGGAGGAGGGGGAGCCTCATCCTGGGACTGCCTGATGGGCAGAGGGGCCCGGGCTGCGATCACTCCCATCGGCCACCAGCGTGTGCCCGCCGTCCCGGCGCGGTGCCGTGCCGGGGGCCGGGCCAGACCTGTTGAGCACGTAGTCGATGTCCGTGATGTCCAGGCGGTTCGACAGCACGAGGGCGCGGAGGCTCGGGCGCTCGTGCACGGGGGCGGAAAGAGACGGGGGGGGGGGGTGCAGAAGCACGCGCCCCTCCAGCAATTTTTTGGGCCCCTGGTGGCATATTGCGTGGGGCCACGGGGTCAGAGGATCGCGCCGCACCGCTGGTGCACCGGCGACGTCGGCGTGGAGAGCATCGGGCTCCACACCGAGCCGCATCGCCGATGCCTCAGCGATGCGGCGCGGTGCTCCGACCCCACCTGCTCGGACCCCATCTGGGAGGCCTGCTCGGGTCGGGCGAGGGGGATAGCAAAGGGGGGGTTTGAGAATCAGCTCACGTAGCTGATTTTCCCGGCGCCTCCCGGCGCCGGAGGCGGCCATGTATCGAGGAATGGGCCCCTCGGTCGGGCCGAAACCAGCTGCATGCAGCAGATTTCGTACCCCCTCCCTTTCCTAAACCCCCCCTTTCGCCCGACCCGACCTGTGGAGTCCTCCGGTCCCCGGTCCCCTCCCCGCTCCCTGCCCCTCCGCGTACCGAGCGCCCAGGATGTACTCGCGCACCGCGTCCCGGTTGCCCAGGGCGGCGCCGGGGTCCTGCTGCTCGAACAGCCGCACGGCCTGCGGGTCTCGGCGGGGGGCCCTGGGGGGGGGGGGGCGTCAGAGGGGGCAGGCCTCCCCAGGGGGCTCGGGAGGCCTCTTGCCCTCTGGCAAGTCTTCTACGGTCGGGAGCTCTTGGGCAGCGTGTCGCGGCGGCGGCCCGGGCGCGATGTGCCACGCCCTTCGAGTGGAGAACGTGTCGCTCCGCTCCGCGGGGCGGGAGGCTCGGAACGGCTCGGGACGTTGACGCCTGGAGACCAGGAAATGGATAGCGTGTCGCGCCCAATCATGGTGGGCCAGAACCGGCGGAGCGACACGCTTTCCAACCGCTCCCGACGGTAACTAAGCCTTCTCCGAGAACAAAGACGGCTTCTCAGAAGGCCGGACGAGAGGTGCCGAGGAGCCCCTCCGCCTTCAGGGAAGGCCTGCCCCTTCTCACTTCCCCCCTGAGCGCGCCGCCGAAGGCCACTCCCCCCCACCACCAGCACGGTCTGTGGGACCGCCAGGCGGGCGAGGTGAGTCGGGCACAGCGCCTTCGGACCTTATCCGCCCCGCGCCGCGAATAAAAACACGGCGGCAAGTCGGCCAGCCGGCCTCGGCCGACCAGTGGCCCTCGCCGGCCCCCGAGACCGCCAAGAAGCGGGTCGGGATGACAACTCGGTACCGGGGAAGTGGTCCACACCTGGGGGGTCCAGGCTCCCAGACCCCCGACGTCATGATTTTTCATGACGTCGACCCCCAGAGGCCTCGACCTCTTCCCCCGGGAGCCGGTTCTACATCCCGAGTCGTTTTGTGACGGTCCCGAGGCCCGGTCAAAGCCCTCAGAGGCCGACAATGGCGAAAAACCGCTCGTCGTGAGTTCTTCTCATTGCTCGGTGGGGGTCGGAGGTTGTCAGAGCTCACGGCGTCGGAGGTCTGGGGAGTGGCGGGGGTCTGGGCGCTCCAGGGCCCGTCGAGGCTTCGTGGAGGCCTGGTTCCCCCGGGGCAGGGCCGCCGTGCCCTTGGCCCGGGGCTGGAGAAGGTTGCGGAGCTCCTGAGGCTCACTCTCCCGGGCGAGGGATGTCCGCCTGGCTCCAGGCAGCGCCAGCTATCTGAAGGGGGCAGGAAAGTGCTGGCAGGCAACGGTTCGGGCGTGACTGCAACCACTGGAGCTGGGCATCCGAGCACTCCAAGCAGAAGCGCGTGCACCTCTGCTCGGCGTCCTGGCATCGCGGCAGGGCAGACGCCAAGAGCAGAGGTCCCCCAAAACGACGAGGGGGAGGCTGGGCAAAGTTCTGGGACGTTGACAGCCGCAGTGTCGCCCCCCCGACCCAACAACGAACGGATGTCCTGATGGTGGCTGGCTGGCCACGCGCGCGGCACTGCCACAGACTCGAGACGCCCACCAATGCCCGCTGCTCCGCGGCCTGGTATTGATCCTGATCCATCCAGCCCGATCACTCCCGAATCGCGGGCCTCTCGGGTGCCCAAGCGCGCCTGATCGACCGACCTGATCCCCATCGACCGACAGCACAGGACGGGGGAAAGGAAGAGGAGCAGGCAGCAGGACGAGTTGGAGGAGTGTCAGATCACTCATATTCCAGGGACGTTATATTATACGATCCCCAGATCGAACATCAATAATAGGAGCATGAGGTGGATCAATCTGATGGAGAAAACAAGGATTCTGATGGTGACGACAATGATGAGACGTCGTCGGGGAAGCTACATTGATGATGATACACATGAGGGCACGTAAGGATGATGAGAAAAGCAAATGCGTAGAAGGAGAGGAGGAACATGAGGAACGACAGAAGGACACGGAGGAAGGTATAGGAGTAACCATTAAAGAGAAGGACGACTGGTACGAGGAGGAAGACAACGCGGAGGGACCCCTGGACTTCCTAGACCCTCCAGACCTCCCCCCGACCTTCGAGTTCCCGAGGCCCCCCCCCTCCCTCCTCCCTCCACCCTTCCTCCCTCATCAGCTCTCATCCTCTTCCTGGAGATCGAGGACGCCGACACCCGACGCACGCACTGAACAGAAAGCAGCGCCGTGACACATTGCAACCAAAGCCGCGCCTCTACGCGGAATCCCTCGAACGGGATCAGTGTGCGAATGCCCATGGGGACCCGAGACGGAACAAACTTTTGGTCTCGGCGACTGGCCAAGGCGCGATCGGCAAAGAAGGAGCAGACTTGGTACCAGACGCGAGAGGCAAAGCAGGACACGTCGACTCAACGAATTGGCACGCCCAGGCAAACCGACAGAGGAGATGCGGCGCGAACACGCCCGCCGCAACCCACATAGACAACGCGGACCATCCCGTCCCAGGTCCTCCTCCTCCTCCTCCTCCTCCTCCTCCTCCTCCTCCTCCTCCTCCTCCCCCTCCCCCTCCTCCTCCTCCTCCTCCTCCTCCTCCTCCTCCTCCTCCTCCTCCTCCCTCCTCCTCCTCCTCCTCCTCCCCCCTCCCCCTCCTCCTCCTCCTCCTCCTCCTCCTCCTCCTCCTCCTCCTCCTCATCCTCATATTCCTTTCCACTGCGGGGCGCGCATCTCTTGAATGACGAGCGCCCCTCGGACCTGTCACTCAGGCGCCCGCTTTGCAAAGGACCCACCGTACATCAGGTTGGCTAAACCAAAAGTCGTCAAGAAGATACAGTCCAAGGATCTGTACAACGATAGCCGCATTCTGACTATGATCTGCCATCCGGCCGTGGAAGTTTGGCACAGCTTTAGAAACTTCTGGTCGTCAATGTTGGGAAGTCCCATGCGAGACTGCATGTTGAAAAAGAGCCGCACTCCATCCCTGCAACTTTCGGACACCAATGTGCGCGGCCATCCCGGCATGTGAGCAGCCCTTTGAATACCACCGCCTCAGTCATTTGTCTGGTGGGACCTAGTTAAAAGAATGTGCGCGGCGCTAAGGCGAGAGTCGCATTGTGGTGTACGCCACATGGCCTCCATCCTTGCAGCTGCAGGAGACTCTTGACAACTAATGTGCGCGGCGCTGAGGCGAGAGAGCCGCAATTTGGAAACCACTGGCCCTCCATCCTGTAAGCTGCTGAGTTGTGAGCTTCAGAGTCACATGGACAAGAACTTTTGCTTAGCGTGCCGCGGCGACGGCCCCCTCGGCGCGCTATGCCTTGCGAACGGAAAAAGTGTCGCTCCGCTCCGCGGGGTGGGCGGTTTGGGAAACTCGAGACGTTGACGCTTTGGGATGGGACATGGGCAGCGTATCGCGCCCAAGCGTTGTAGGCCAGAAGCCGCCGCGCGACCTTCCGAGCCCAGATTCCCGACCTCGCAAAATGTAAGGCAACCTCGAACGAAATATCCGCCCCGGCCTACGGACACGTTTGATGGTGCGACAGGAGGGGAGTTGTCTATACGGAAGGGGGATGGATGATGATATGATGATGGGGGGGATCTGACGATGGAGCGGTCGGGCGGGGGCTAGAGGATGAGGAAAGGAGGGAGGGAGGGAGGAGGGAGGGAGGAGGGAGGAGGATGGGAGTAAGAGGAGGAGGAGGAGAAGGAGGAGGAGGAGGAGGAGAAGGAGGAGGAGAAGGAGGAGGAGAAGGAGGAGGAGAAGGGAAGGGGCGGGGGGGGGCACACAATGGCCATTCCAAACAAAAGTTCTTGTTCAAATGAATAACATCCTGGGCTCCTAGCACGGACACTCCGCTCCCCTTTGTTGTGGCTTGGCCCTGCAAAAGGCCCGGAAAAAAAGGCACCCCGGATGGATCCTTGCCAAGATCCCTGCAAATGCCCCGTCGAGGCGTGAGTTACAGAGTTACGGAGTTAACGCACACACGTGAAACGCCCTGATCAGAGGCGGAGGAGGAGGAGGAGGAGGAGGAGGAGGAGGAGGAGGACGAGGAGGAGGAGGCAGAGCGAGAGCAGGGAGGCGCAGGGGCGTGGCGGTCGCTCCGCGCTGGCGCCGTCAGGCCTGGAGCGGGTCGTAGTGGTTGAGCGCACGCAGCAGGTCGGACCTCGACGGCGAGGCGGCCCAGCGCACCGCCTCCTCCTCGGCCTCCTCTCCCCGTCTCCCTCCCGCGCTTCCTCCTCCCTCTGCTTCCCTCCCCCCTCCTCCTCATCGGTTTTCCTCCTCCTCCTCCTCTTATACCCTTCTCCTCCTCCTCCTCCTCATCATCATCATCATCATCACCACTACCAGTATCAGTCCCAGCATCACCATCATCATCATCGCCATCACTATATCACAATCACCATCACCACCACCACCTTCATCATCGCCATCCTTCCTCATCATCAGCATCGACGTCGACATCGACATGAACATCATGATCATCATCAGCATCATCATTATCGTCATTATCCCCTCCCTCACTCCCTCTGCATCCTTTCTTCCTTGTCCCTCTCCCTCTCTCCATGCTCATCCTTCCCCATCCTCACTTCTCCTCCCTTTCCTTATATACGCTCCTACTAGCCTAGCCGCAGTAGGTAAGGATTCCACCCGCTCTCAATAAAAGGGGAAACATTATTAATGTCGGTGTCTAACTGAGGGTTGCCGACGCCCAGCAATAATCGGCAAATCATTAGTACCTCGCCGCCGTCGCCGTCGCCGTCGTCGCCACCGCCGTCGTCGTCGTCGCCACCGCCATGCTTCTACTCCTAGTCCTGCTCCTACTCTTACTCCTACTACACTGACACGACCGACGACGACTACTACTCCTACTCCTATCCTTATTCCTTATTAGAATATACTCCTACTCCCCCCTCAGGCCGGCAGATAGCGGGCGCATCCGGGTGGTCCCATCCTAACCTGTAAAAAACAATACAAAATCAACATTTTTCAAATTTTTTCCTCTCGACATGGACGTCCTGTCGTCCACGGCGATAATCCATTGCAAAAAGAACCACAAAGAGCACACGCGCGCGTTCATGTCAGAATCCTACCGAACACCGTGTGTTTGCAAGCATTTCAACATAAAAACATCAAAAACCCAATGCTTTTTCACAAAAAATTGTACAAATTTCCCGCCCGGGCTCTCTTGCTGAAATCATAGGAAAACCATAGGAATCTTAAGAATTCTGTCAAATCCAGCGATTTCACGTCATCGCGCGGTGCACTCGCGATGCTCTGTCATGCACCCAGGCCGCGAATCCTGTGCAAAAAAAATTACAAAGAGCACACTCGCGCGTTCATGTCAGAATCCTACCGAATACCGTGTTTTTGCAAGCATTTCAACATAAAAACATCAAAAACCCAATGCTTTTTCACAAAAATGCTTTGGGGTGTCCTGTCAGACCGTCGGGCTTCCTCCGGCCACCTCTGGCTTCCTGCGGTGTACCGGGCCATTCTCGACTCGTCTGGCAATGCGTGCGCGGCATTCAACACGCGCTCGCCAGTTCCCGTCGGCAACCGCCATCGCGGCCGCATCAGCTGTACCAAACCGGCTGGCCGGTGTGACTTCGGCCCCCAGTTGTGCCAGCTTTGCTTCTTATGTTTTGGGAGGGCGGGTGGGACTGGGCATGCCATGCTTGACTCGCTCGAGCTGGCTAGCTTGACTCCTACTCCTACTCCTACTCCTACTACTCCTCCTCCTCCTCCTCCTCCTCCTACTACTACTACTACTACTACTATTATTACTACTACTACTACTACTACTACTATTATTACCACCAACACTACGACTACTACTACTACTACCACCACTACTACTACTACTTCTGCTACTACTACGACTCCTCCTACTACTACTACTACTACTACTACTGCTACTACGACTACTACTACGGCTACTGCTACTACTACTACTATTACTACTACTACTACTACTAGTACTACTACTACTACTACTACTACTACTACTACTACTACTACTACTACTACTACTACTACTGCTAACACTGCTACTACGACAAGTACTACCACTGCTACACCACCTGCTACTACTACTACTACTACTACTACTACTACTACACCTACTACTACTACTACTGCTGCTACTACTACTACTACTACTGCGACTACTAATGCGACTACTGCTACTACGACTACTGCGAGTACGACTACGACTACGGCTACGACTACTACTACCACCACTTGTACTACTACTACTACTACTACTACTGCTACTACTTCTACTACTACGACTGCCACTACTACTTCTACTACCACTACAACTACGACTGCGTCTACTACTGCTATTACTACTGCTACTACTACTACTACTGCTACTACTACTACTACTACTACTACAGCCACTACTACGACTCACACTGTTACCACTTCTACCACCAATACCACTACTACCACGACTACCACTACTACCACCACCACTACCACTCCCACTCCCACTCCAACTACCACCACTACTATTACTACTACTACTACTACTACTACTACTACTACTACTACTACTACTAGTGCTACTACTACTGCTACTACTACTACGGCTACTACTAGTGCTATCCTGGTACTAC